AGGGAGGTGACAGCTCCCATAAGGTGGAGGTAAGTTGTGCCTCGCGTAGGCCCTATCCTGTCGTAGGGGCTCGCGAGAGGTATGGCTGGCGCACTCGGCCGGAGCGGCCTAAGGAAGCTTCATTTAGCGTGTTCGTGTCGAGGTTGGTCCAACTCCTGCGTGACGCGGCCGAGAGGGTCCCGCGCTGCCACGTGCGGTGTCGGACCGATGCGTCCGACAGCGCCAACGCAAAGTGGCTAGCTAAATTGACTAAAAAATGAAAACGAAACTCTTGTATTGGCCAGCGGACAGATCCACGAAATCGGTCCTTATGGCCCTGTGCCGAAGATACACAAAAGGATCAACGGTCGCTAAGAAATGAAAACGAAACTCTTCTATTGGCCAACGGACAGATCCACGAAATCGGTCGTTTTGGCCCTGAGCCGAAGATGCACAAAAGGATCAACGGTCGTCGGATGTCACCTCTCGCCGCACGTCGTTGAAAACCAAACTGATGAAGCGTAAATCGATGCTAGTGGGTCCGGGCCCCTGAACCCACTAGCGAAGTTTTTTTTTTTTTTTTTTTTTTTCTGAGAATTTTTTTTTTTCTCCCAAGATCTGCTGGCGTTCAGACAAGGGGACGGGACCCCTATAAAAATTGGCCACGCGCAGCAGGTACCGCAACATGCGCACATAAGCCACAGGATGTGTGACGCAATTTTATGGTTTTGCCTTAGGGGGGGAAAAAAAATTATGTTTTTTTGGAAAATACAAAGTGATTTTTTATTTGCATGAATGGATTGTTTTCTGATTTTTAGAATGAATTGAAATAGCACATAAAACTATGAACAACAGTTGTGCACCCGAATTCATGGGTTGGTACTATCTCCTTCATTTAAGTCTTCATAGTGATGTACCGTGGCAATAAAATGTGTCCACGAACACAGTCACGAGGATGAACAAGTAACGGGTATTGGGATACATTCATCACCGTGTATCTCGTCATGCCTCGAGCAGGCCAGCCGACAGACGCGGAAGCGTTCCCGTCAGATCCACCACAATATTCGAATTTCACATTTCAAGTTCTATTATTTCTCAGAGCCAAAAAAAAAAAAACGAAGTCTGGAAATCAACCCCCCCCTTTCAAATCCATAAAATCCAGACTTCCCGCCCACACAAAGCCACCAGCTGTCATGTCCAACTTTGTTGGGTTTTTTTTTTTCGACGCATCTCATTGGATGGGAGTTGGGCATCTTTACAGTCCCCGCTCGGAAACTACCAGGCCATCAAGATCCAATGTATTCCACGGCCGTACTGCATCACTCGAGGCCACACGTGATCGAAATCCTGAACGGATTGGTAAAATACTTCGCTAGTGGGTCCAGGCCATGCTAATCTTCTCTGTATCGTTCCAATTTTAACGGATGTCCCAAAGGACGGCCTCTCTTTTTGGTGTGCGTAATCAAATGAACTGAGTTTTCCTGAAAAAAAAAAAAAAAAAAAAAAAAGCCCTTTTGGGCCCAATTCTTTGTGTTATGCCCCTGTCAGGCGGGTGTGCATATTTACAAACTGGACCGTGTCGTTTGGGCCTGGGCATTTTGTAATAGGGCTTTGGAAAAGTTGGCAAATACGGGGGCATTTTGCAAAGTTCGATGGTATCCGGTAGGGGTATACTGCAAAGATGGAGGGTCCAACCCATGGCAAGGGTATGTCACAATTTTTTTTTTTTGCAAGAGGTATATCTCAACTTATGGGGGAATTTTGCAAATTACCCCTTTGTAAAGCTACACTATATTCTTCTCCCAATTTTTTATTATTATTATTATTTTTTTTTTCAAAAAGTTCATGGTCCTGGATTATGAGACCACCTCCCATCCCATCCTCACGTCAATACTCCTAGCGCACCCTCTATCCCACTATCCTACCTCAGTGTGACCAGCCCTCAGGACCACCATCACCATACCAATGGGCAGGTAACTTGGACCGAACAACAGTGATAGGCACCAGGGATGATAGGTTGCCCTGTGACAAACCATTTTCTGTAGCGCGCGATTTCCTGCGCGGTTGCAATGAGGGGTCCTAAGCTGGGAAGGTTGGGCCAATTACGGGAGATTGGGATGGATGGGAAATTGCATCAGTGTCCTCGTTTCTTTGTCTTTTTCGTCGCCTCTTTTCTGATGGTTGGGTTGGGAGCCGGGTGAGTCCCGGGACGATCGATTGATTGATTGATTGTGTCTGCGGCGCGCCGCCGAGCGCGCGATTAATAAATGTTGACAACAGTTCTTTTGGCTCGGTTTCGGAACCTTTTGGGCACGGACATCGCGCGGGAATTTGCTTCGTTCTTTTTGAATTTTCTTTTTGAATTCTTTTTCGAATTTTGTCGAGCCCCGATGGCTCTCGGAATTGCGGACTTTCCTCCCGGAACCTGTACTCTTGCTTTTTCGCATTAGTTAAAAAATTAGGAATTTTGTAATTAGGACTTTCTTTTGCCGCGCGGCGCCTTTTTGCTTATGCGCCTCCCTATGCGGCTACAATGAAATTCTGATTAGTCAGCGCCTTTAATCGGGTGTGTAACGGTAATCTTGGGTTGGCGCCATTGTAACTGTATCTTTCTTCTTGCGCTTAGTCCTTCCCGCCCCCCCTTCTCTTTTTTTTGCTGCGTTTTTGTAGCTACGGACTGCATGCTCAGATCGATGCGTGGAGAGTGGCTACGTCCCCCACGCCGYGGCCCGGKCATGCAGAACGTAGGCACTCCCTCTCTAATCTCCCTCTAAGTTCTGGTAATTCTGTGTTCTTCGCGCATGCACACACGCTATAAATTTTGGTTGCGCGATTAGTTAGCTCTCTTAATCAGCTACTGGAAGCTCGGGGTTGCGCGATCAGCGAGGGTCGGCACATGAGCGAAGTAAGAGGTGAGTAGAGCAGGAGTCGGGCGACCCGACGAGCTGGTGCCAAACGCGCGGGGTTGACGCGGGCCAYGACGAACTSTRGGCGCAGGCGAACCTCACGGGTGCGGGAGGACTAAGCGGGGTGACGGCTTCGTGTGTTGGTGCRCGACGACGGACTGTCCGCATCGGAGAGAGAGAGAGAGAGAAAGAGGGAACTGAGGTTTATGGACGCGGTTTTGCTGTTTCTTTTATCTTTTCTCCCTCCTGTCTCATGTACATAAATTTTGATTTCGGCTCCGGGYAGTTTGCCCGTTTTTCTATTTTTYGGAATTCGGACTTGGATTTTTGCTCGCACTCATCTTCGTGATTCCATCTCAGATGTACTGTGTGCATGTTGCTGAATGAATGAATGTGTGGATGCAATGTTTTCTGTCGGAATCCTTGCCTTTGATAGTGATTGATGCACTCGTAAGTAGGATAGGAGTTTTTGCGCAATCGGTCATTCTGCTTTCGTTTTTGTTGGTCTCTTGATTGGGCTGTTGTGTGAGGTGCATCCGGCATACACGGAGTGAACGCCACGCGACTTGATCTGTGCAGTTACACGCGCTCCTGTGCGTCGGATCGTCAAAACTCATCGATTGCGGGGATATTGTCTGATCGAACGTGGCAGTTCTGCGTCTAGTGGCGAAGCCATCGTTCCGTATAAGCACGAGTAGGCGCGACTCGATTGCGTGGCCTGCACGTGCTTGCACGCGGCGATCGCCTTCGACAAGGACCTGCCCTCAGGAACCTTGTAACTCTGCAATGACACGATGACACGATCCTGGAATTCAGACTCATCATACAACCCGGATTACTTCACCCCTTGTATAAACGAACTCCTCCGACAGAGATACCCCTGCCTGAGCGAGAACTGACTGGGTCCTCGGGAATTCCACTGCGCCACCACTAGCGACCCCCGCTGCTTTGATTTCCCCTCTCCGGACCATACCTACTACTTCATCCACCCCGGATTTGTTGTTATCACCACCAGTTTCCCTCCCTTTCGCCTCCTCCTTCCGTATCACCAACTCAGCGTCGTCCTGTGGCCGGCCATAGCCCCATACAGGCCCAGTACGCCCTGCGAAAATTGTCGACGACGCAACGATCAGAGGACCCCGGAGTCCCGGAGGCCCAACCCAAACGTGCGACGGCCGGCACCACGTGGCAACTCCCAACGGCCTGAGTCATAGCAACCACATCCACCCCGAGGCACCCTCCCGCAAACCGCCGTCCCCGAAACCAATGGCTCGCCCGACCCCGAGCAACCCACGCGTACCATCTGCTTCGTGACCAGAGGCGATCCGCCCTCTCTGCCAAATTGCACTCGTGCCCCCGAAGAACCCTGCCACAGGAGATCTCAGTTCTGACCTGGGACTCCACTTTCCCCAAAAATCCTTGGCACACCCCTTTTCGCACTTCCAGGCCCACATCCTACTCCGATCAGGAAGTCGCGTTGGGCGTGAGGTTGGTATCGGAGCCTGACACGTGGCCGGGTTTTAGGATTAATAGCATAACTAATTGGGCGATCTGGCTAACTGAGGGCGACCTCGGCCCCGAAACACGCATAGACACGACCTCATCATCACCAGAAGCAGATCAGCTAATCGACGGGCAGCCAACATGGCTGCTAATATACCGAACTCGAATCCGCAGCAGAATGCTAACCAACCAAATCCTAATCAACCTGCCCCACGAGCACGGGATCCCATGACGCCACCAGATCTCTATCTATTTGATCCTGCGGACCACCTGGCAGGAGCATGGTTGGCCACGCTCCGAGCACAGCAGTATGACGATAACGAAGCTCACGTAAACATCCCCGCTCGATTAGGAGGAGACGCTCATCACTGGTTTAGTACCTATGTATGGGTAGATCTTCATACCTTCGAACGAGACTTTCTGAATGGATTTGATTAAGTCCACCCAGAGCAAGCGCTTTACATGATCAAGGACCGAGTGCAAAAACCTCTCGAATCCGTTGCAGAGTATCGAAACCAGTTCTACCAAATGTTTGTGAAAACTGAGCGAGGTGAGCAAGTAGGGAGAGATATGTTCATAGACGGGCTCCGCAGCCGAACAATAAGGGTGAAGCTGCGAAAGTAGTTTTCCCCCATCAATCATACGCTGCACCAGATCATGGCCGTTGCAGAAGAAATGGAACGGAAGTTCGCGGCGAACTTCGTGGAAGGAGAAGACTATTCTAGGGAAGGAGATTCGTCCGAACTCGCAAGGGCAAAAACCGAACTGGCTGCGCTGCAAAACAAGTTCGAAAACATGGGGTTTGTGTCAGGTCTTGTCACCTACATAGAACAGATAGCCCCTAAACGATCGATTCCAAGTGAGATCCCGAGTGTTACTGTTCCTGTGATGCCAACACATGTACGAACGACACCCCGACCCCCAATTGAAATCAGCTGCCATATTCGAACTAACCAAAACATTGATTAGTCTAATCCAGGAAAGCAAAAAGGAACAACGAGAGCACAACGCGCGGTTGGAAGCCATGATGAGAAACATGCGGCCCATCGCAGTACGCACCCCTCCAATCCAACAAGGGCTGGCCCAGGCGCCTGCTCTCGGGGGAGCCGTGAACAATCTGAATGTTTGTTATGCATGCCATCAACCAGGACATCTAGCTTTCCGATTGGGAAAAATGCATGCACTGGGAGATGTCATGGTGTTAGATGTAAATACCTACGACGTTCTTTTTGGACTTCCCGTTCTTGTGGCATTACGAGCGAATCTGGACTTCGAGCGAAGGTCAATCATCCTCCGAAATACAGGAGGAAAGCCCTATGCTGTACCAATGAGACTGACCCTTCATACTACCATCAACGCAGTTCCGCGAGTTTCGCAGATGTTAGCGGGGACTCTCCGTATGATTGCCTGGGAAGACTCTGCAGACGATGAGCCATCATCGAAGGATGAGGATAGCAGTGACGAAAATGATCCAGAAATCTTGAAGCTAGCGCGACAGCGTATTTATTACCCGTCGCCCCGAACGATCGCAAATACAATGCACCTAACTAATCGGAACATCCAAAGAACCAAGGGGATGATTTTGGGTGAACCCCTCGTACAGATTTCGAGGATGGTCGATTCTTTGGAACCCCCTCAAACCTTGTACGAAGGAATCTCCCCTCTCCTCGCCCGATACAACGACAAGAAACACTATTACGATATAACAGATCTACCTAAGTCCCTATTGACATCTGCAAAAGAGGTACGACTGTTACGCCTAGGGGCGGAGGCCAGTTCTTTGGAACCCTCTGCGCGTCTCGAGGCTGAATCAGACGAACTCGGAATAAAGATCGCAACTACAACGGTGCCATGGCAAGATATCTGCGATGAGATCACCCCGGAAGGACACGTGGCCATCCAGGAGGAAGATGCCCAGATGATGGCCACGGTGTTCTCTTGGCGATCGGACCATTCGTTCATTTCTGCACCACCCGATGTGGCGAAACAAGCACACACAAAGCAAATCGACGTACGAATCTGGGACCAGCCTTTTGAGTTACACGTTCCACAATACGTACCTGACGAGATACATCGAGTGATTGCAGATATCCTGATAGAATATCAGGGAGCGATTAGCATAACTGACACTGACATCGGCTTGTCGTTGGTTATTCAACACGAAATTCAGACGGAAAATCATTCTCCCATCTACTGCAAGCCTTACCATTATTCCCTGATAGAACGGAAAAAGGCTCTCGAACGAATTTGGGAGTTCGAAGCCAATGGGTGGATTGAACCCGCCACCGGACCATGGTCATTTCCCGTAGTATTAGTACTGAAGAAAAATGGATCAATTCACATATGCATCGATTATCACAAGCTGAATGAAATCACGATTAAAGACGTGTATCCCCTCCCCCGGATTGATGATTTGCTGGATGCGATTGGATGCGCTAATTATTTTAGTAAGTTTGATATTCGGCATGGCTTCCATCACATTCTGGTCAAGGAGGAAGATAGGCCGAAGACGGCCTTTGTGTTGTTTGAGGGCACGTGGCAGTGGGTTCGGTGTCCGATGGGGATTTGCAACGCGCCTGCCACATTTCATCGAGCGATGAACATGATATTCCAGAACTTCGTCAACAAGACGCGGCTAACTCAGGGAATGATCAACTTCTGCGTGATCGTATACATGGATGACATCCTTGTCTACTCGGAGACCTATCACGGACATGCACAACACATTGAGTGGATGCTGGGAGCACTGAGAGACGCTGGATTCAAGATCGCACTCGAAAAGAGTGAATTTTTCCTTTCGGAAATTTCGTTCTTGGGCTACGTCGTGACGCGTGGAGGACTGCGGTCTGACTCCAGAAAGGTCGCGGCGGTAAAAGAAGCTCCGGTTCCCACGTCGCAGACGCAGCTTCGAGCCTTCTTGGGATTGGCATCGTACTATCGTCGTTTCATCAAGGGCTTCGCCGCGATTGCACGGCCACTAACGAACCTGTTACGAAAGGACCAGCCTCTCAGTTGGGATGCGGAGTGTGAGCAGGCCTTGGCGACCCTCAAAGATGCTCTGGCGACGACACCTATTTTGATTCGACCGGACCCATCGAAACAGTTCATTCTTATCACAGACTGGCAACCGGAAGCTATTTCCGCTATTCTAGCGCAAAAGGGGAACGATGGTCGCGAGCACGTCATCAAGTACACGTCGCGCACGGTGTCAGACGAAAGGAGGAATGACTCAACACCCCAAGGCGAATGCTATGCAGTAGTCTGGGGAATCCAACACTTCCATCAGTATCTTTACGGACAGAAGTTCCGCCTCGTGACGGATCATGAGCCCTTGCTGGCATTGAAGAAGCTCACTAACTACACGGGCATGATTGGACGATGGGCGGTACGACTACAGGAATACGACTTCGACATCGTCCATCGGAAGACAGAAAGGCACGACAACGCGGACGGACTGACACGTCTGCATCGGCCCGCTAAAGTACCGAAGGGCGAGGAAATCACCCCGTGGAAGGAGTCGGAACCGGCAAACGGGCCAAAATACGGACAAGTGGCAGTTCTCCCACGTGGCACGAAGCAAACCAGTGGCAATGGGTGACGGAGGTAACCTCTCCACCCCTCTTTCTCCCATCTCCTCTTCGTCTATTCTCTCCCTGCATGATAAATTTTGCTATTTTTGCGAAGCAATTTCTCGCGTATACTCTGTCTCAATGTGTCCTAACGGGGAAGGGTATGCGGAATGGATAGACTGCCGATAGTGTGTCGCAAGAGCCCATGGCTCGTGCATCCAATACCGAAATGATAGTAAACCGTGGTTATGCCCCTTGTGTCGGGTTAACAAGATCCCGACCGAAGCTCGCTTTCTGGATGCCACGTCAGAAGGGTTGGAAAAGACCCGGAAGTTTCGAAGGGCCGAAGTATGGACCGACATCGCCTTGATTGCCACCTTAGTGGGTAACCCCCTCCAGGATTTCACCAAGGAAGATCGGAGGAGGGCTAACGAAAGGGCTCGGGATTATCGATGGATAGAGGGTAGGTTAGAAAAACGGAAAACGGACGGCAGTGGGATTTGGATGGTTGTACCGCATCCGTTCATGAGGTACGACTGGGTAAAGACGACACATGAAGAAACCACAACCCACTTTGCCGTACGGATTACCGAATCAGCAATCGATAAAAACGAGTGGTATTGGTCCAATATTCGGGACGATGTGAAATTCATCGTCGCAAACTGTCAAGTCTGCGCTGCTGACAAGGCGCCGATCCAGCCGTCAAGATCGATAGTTCCAACGGTAGTAGAACGGTCGTTCCAAAGGGTGAGTATGGATACTACCGATATCGTGGTACCCGTTGGTCCTAATAGTTGCGAATATTCAATCCTGTTGGTATTCGTCGACCATTTTTTGAAATGGATCGAGGCCTACCCCTGTCGTACGCGACAAGCCGCTGAAATTGCGCGGTAAGTTAACCATTTTCTCGGGATGCACCAGGATACAGAAGAAATCTTGACCGATAACGGGGCAGAATTCAGAGGGGAAGTGTTAAGGAACCTGGTCATACATGGTGTCGCTGTACGGAACACAGCGCCTCACATGTCACAATCTAATGGACTGGTAGAAAACGCCAATAGGATGATAAAGACAACACTGTGACGCAACATCGCGGCACGGGATCCGAGGCCCTGGCTCGATATCGTCGACCACATCTTAGCGGTCCATCGCGGTACGCCCCATGAATCGACGGGCCTGAGTCCCTTTCAATTAAGGACTAATAGCATCGCTTGCGTTTCGATACCAAGCCTCCCTGACGAATCAATGCTTAACCGCCAGCCCACAAGGGCCACAGCACGGGACAAGGCTAAGCGGCACCTAGAGTTAATGGAACGGTCCCTCCCCAGGCTAGCCCGAAAACGCCAGAAAATGACCGAGTTGGCCCATGGCCGACAGGTCCTAAGCTACGAGGCCCGAAACGGGAATGCAGGTCCACGACCCCAGTACAAATTGGGGGACATCGTGCAGGTGAGAAAATGTGCTCGCCAAGGCGAGCTAGCGCCACGATTCTTCGGGCGATTCCGCGTGACTGAACTTGGACCCAACGGCGTGAACACCGTGCGGCTTGCGCCTGAGGTCTCCGGCAGCCGATCGGCTCGTCCGATCATTCGCCACGTGTCCTACCTTCGTCCCCTCCCTCCTTCTCCATCTTCGCATTCATCCGAATCCTCCTCCGCTGCGGAAGAGGACAACGACTGCTTATCGCCTGCCTCCCCGTCTCCCCCTCGTTCTCTTTCCATTACTCCGTCTCCATCGCCATCGCCATAAGTTTTCTTACGGAGCGAGCTCTTGGCAATTCGCTGCTGGTGCCACGGTGTCACCATCATCCGCGGCTCAATCCAGACCTTCGGCGGCTTGCGCAGTTCTTCTGTACCCAGGGAGTGTACGCTGCTGCTGAGTTTCGTTTTGTTGGAAGTCCCCGGGCGATTGTTCTAGCAGAAGCGGTAGGAGTTCATCGACGATCGGCTTCGGGAATCAGCCACGTGTCTACGGTGGTCGCTTTCAGTGGCGACATCAGTACCATCAGCCCATTGCGGCATATAGCTATCAAGACGACGCTCCAGTTGTTGGCACAACAGTTGGCGGCGGAGTGGAATCATTGGCTCACGCCCCACTGAGACAACCTCTTTCCCACGGATGGCGTCGATTTCGACGGGATCCGAACCTTCTAGCACGAGCCAGCGGTGGCGCTCCCGGAACTCGTCCCCTTCCCCCGTCCTCAATGAACCCATCCCCGATCTCCACTTTCGACCTCCCCTCCTTCTTCCCCACTTTCTGGCAGTCCGGAGTCCATCCGCATCTTTCCTTTCGTCTGGAATCACTTGCTGTTCACCTCCTCGATCCCTTGCAGTGGAGGCGTTGGCGAGAGCACTTCATTGAGTTGTCGGTGTGTTTGGTCGGAGTAAGGGTCACGTGGACGTAGCACGGAGATCACCGTAAGTGGGCCGAGTACCTCGAGTTGCTTATCATCCAAGCGTGGCGAATGGAAGTGGAAGGCAATCTGCTCGGATTCCTCTTCGGATCGGTGCGGCCTGATCACCGCCAACCGATCGTAAACGAGTTAATGGTCCCCCTTGCACAACCGGCCGACGATCTCTCTCTTGAGATCGTCTCGCAGAGCGACGATAGCCCGGTCCCGCACGTTCTTACGCGGACCTTGGCGCCATATCTTCAGTGGCCGGCGTGCTTGGAGGAACCAGGGAGCCACCTCAACCCGCCATCACAGCGCGATTACCTAGACCTGCACGAGATAGTCGATGTCGCCTTCTTCCAAGATCGGACGGCTTCCGAAAACGAAGAGATAGAGATTGAAGCGGGAGAAGAAAGCTCGGAGGAAGAAGAGGAGGTCGAAGAAGAGCCCGACGAGGAAAAAACTCCCGAGGAAGGGAGCTACAGTGAGCACAGCGAGGGCGAGCAGAGTAAAGAGGAGGAAGAAGAAGACGTCGACGAAGAAGAAGAAGACCAGGAGGAGTTAGTAGAGTCGGAGTACGAGGGATTCGAGAAGGAAGTGCACGACGAGGCTCGGGCGCAGGCCAAGGCACAGAAGAGGGAAGAGATCGCAGCCGGGTAGGGACAATTGGAATTCACCAACGCAGCCGGCCAGCCGCTCACCGACGATCCAGCTCGGGACCCAGAGTCGCCTAAGCCCGAGGATGGAGAGACAGCTGGCGAGACTTCAGCCGCACCAGCGAGGCGGCCGCGGAGCAGATCACCCTCCCCCTCCACCACTGACCGCCCCTCAACTCGTCCACGTACCAATGCGGGGCATCGGGCTTCGTCCCCGGTCCTTATCCCGTCGTCCCCTTGATCACCTCTCCTTCCGCCAGATCACCACCCGCGTCACCTTCCCCACCAATCCTTTCCCCATCGATACCTTCCGCTTCTTCTACACTACCCGTCTCGTTGTCACCGTTCATCCCCACCCTTCCACCCGATGGGCCCAACCTGTCTTCTACCTCCATATCCTTTTCCTTAGTGCCGCGTGGTAAGGCCACAATATGATCGAGGTATATTGCATGATTATGGGGACTATCCCTGCATGCGAGAACCACGATCACTTTCGAGCGGCCCTCTTCCGAACCTTCACCACCCTCTATCCCGACTACCTCGCGTCCCTCCCCCACACAGGCAACCAATTCCCTCGCTTTCACCGGATCGTTCGTTATCAGGAACTTCCGGAGATGGTGGTCGGAATGGAGAGCTTCCTTCCCCTATTACCTATCAACCCTCCCCCTCGCCACCCTTCCATGTACCGTATCCCCTTTCCCCTCCCCGACGCTCGCTGATGAAGGACAGATGGGCACGCGTCATGACAACGACACGTGTAATCCCCTCCTTGGATTATCAAAGGCCCTCCCTGAGGAATTAGTAGTAGAGTTGTGTTGCCACGATTGGATGACGTCCACACTTATTCGAACGATAAGTGGCATAAAAAGAAGAGCTCCGCGTGTCGATCGATTAGAGAAATCGACACGTCTCAACAAGCAAGCAGGAGCTTGCTAATATTGGAACCCCCTAGGCGTCACATATGTGATAAACCACTTTCTGTAGCCGCGATTTCCTGCGCGGTTGCAATGAGGGGTCCTAAGCTGGGAAGGTTGGGCCAATTACGGGAGATTGGGATGGATGGGAAATTGTATCAGTGTCCTCGTTTCTTTGTCTTTTTCGTCGCCTCTTTTCGGATGGTTGGGTTCGGAGTCGGGTGAGTCCCGGAACGATCGATTGATTGATTGACTATGTCTGCGGCGAGCCGCCGACCGCGCGATTAATAAATTTTGACAACAGTTCTTTTGGCTCGGTTTTGGAACCTTTTGGGCGCGGACATTGCGCGGGAATTTGCTTCGTTGTTTTTGAAATTTTTTTTTGAATTCTTTTTCGAATTTTGTCGAGCCCCGATGGCTCTCAGAATTGCGGACTTTCCTCCCAGAACCTGTACTCTTGCTTTTTCGCATTAGTTAGGAATTTAGGAATTTTGTAATTAGGACTTTATTTTGCCGCGCGACGCCTTTTTGCTTACGCGCTTCCCTATGCGGCTACAATGGAATTCTGATTAGTCAGCGCCTTTAATCGGGTGTGTAACGGTAATCTTGGGTTGACGCCATTGTAACTGTATCTTTCTTCTTGCGCTTCGTCCTTCCCGCCCCCCCTTCTCTTTGTTTTGCTGCGTTTTTGTAGCTATGGACTGCATGCTCAGATCGATGCGTGGAGAGTGGCTACGTCCCCCACGCCGTGGCCCGGGCATGCAGAACGTAGGCACTCCCTCTCTAATCTCCC